AGAAAAGGAATTCCGTAAAGTCTAAGGATTTTATGGGACTCGAACGTGTAATCTATCAGATGTGAACAACCTTAATCCAAAATCCAATACTACTGGATCAAAGCGGGCCGTTCTACTTTTAAGATTTAATTTGTTAAAAAAATAGATATAAATATATATTTTATATATTTTAAAAATATAAAAAAAAACTTACAACAATAATTATAAATTAATATTATCAAACTAAACCATAATTGACAGCAATTCCATGAAGTTGGAGATGGGAAACAAAAGCCAACCAAATCCAATATTGACCTTTTTGTAAAAGAATGTGTCAAACAATGATTTATTCCATAGCACTGTAAAGCAAGTAGTAAGGAAGAAAGTATTAATCTAAGTGAAATTATTAACATCCGACCGGATCCATGTTTGTTGTATTGATTTAATTAATCAAATCTGTCAATGTTCCATGCGACTTGGTAAGTGGATTGGAATGTCACCTTCCTTGTTTTGCTCAACTACATAATTAACAATCAAATCAAAATAATTATAAATCCTTAGTGGCAAAACAATAGTTGATTGAAATGGTTTGAATTTTAGGTAAATACCACCAAAGTGTCTCTAATTATTTATTGTGCTCAGCTAATCTGTGGATCCATGTTTTTTTTTATTATTATTTATTTTTTTATTATTACAATTATTGGTGTTTTTGGATTAACAGTATTTCGTGTCATGAGATTAATTAATTTGAAATGTTTTTAAAAAAATTTTAAATTGTATAATAAAATATAATCATTTTTTATTTTTAACTCATTTTACTTAAATAAGATACGATTTAAATTTAAAATTTTTTATTTTTATTGAAAAGTAATTACTATTGATTTATTTAAATTATTAATAATTTCGTAACAATTTGAAATAATCTTAAAAACAAACTCCTATATTTCCTTGATGTGTTACGAAAATTTAATTTTTTTCAAATGGAAATATTTGAATTTAACATATGAAACCACACTCAATGATGTGTGAATAATGTTGAGTCTCTAGGAATATCCAATTTAAAAATTCAAAACACAAACATTTATTTTTCTCACAAGTTCATAATTAATGCAACAAGAGTCTCAACTTGTGATAGCTAATAATCTTGCCAATTAAAAATTTTAAATTAATTTTTAATAGTATTATCGTAGCTTTTCATTTTACTTTCTTTTATTCAATGAAACACATAATTTAATCATCTTTGAGGGATCAATATTCACTTTCTAAATTTTTACATTCTTATGTTAGACGCACGCTTTATCTCAATTTAATCATACACTCCCTAATTAAAATTAAAATAAAAAGAAAACAGTCCCTAACGAAAGTGATATCTAAACTAAACTTTT